TTCAGGTTGGTGGAGAGTTCCTGCCTCAAGTGGAGGAGTTCAAGTATCTTGGGGTCTTGTTCACGAGTGAGGGAAGGATGGAACGGGAGATTGACAGGCGAATCGGTGCAGCTTCTGCAGTAATGCGGTCGATGTACCGGTCCGTCGTGGTGAAGAAGGAGCTGAGCTGTTAGGCGAAACTCTCGATTTACTGGCCTATGGTGAGAGTCGGAATGTAGATCCCGGATACAGGTGGCCGAAATGAGCTTTCTCCGCAGGGTGGCCGGGCGCACCCTTAGAGATAGGGTGAGGAGCTCGGTCACCCGGGAGGAGCTCAGAGTAGAACCGCTGCTCCTCCACATCGAGAGGAGCCAGCTGAGGTGGCTCGGGCATCTGTTTCGGATGCCTCCTGGGCGCCTTCCTAGGGAGGTGTTCCGGGCATGTCGGGGAAAACCCAGGACATGCTGGATGGACTATGTCTCTTGGCTGGCCTGAGAATGCCTTGGTATCCCCCCGGAGGAGCTGGAGGAAGTGTCTGGGGAGAGGGAAGTCTGGGCATCTTTGCTTAGACTGCTGCCCCCGCGACCCGGTCCTGGATAAGCAGAGGAAGATGGATGGATGGATGGATGGATGGATGGATGGAGTGTATATATGTATGAACAATATATAAAACAATATACTGTATTTATCATGTATAATATAAAGTATACATTTATATATGTAATTTTTTTTATGTTTGGAATACATTTTAATGAGCCATACATGTGACACATCTGTACCATAAACAGATGTAGGCATTCAAAGTGTCATTCTCTGCTGTGATAAGTGACCACTTTCACCGTGACTGCTGTGTTACAGTAAAATCTGTTGGTGGCGCTCAACCTACACTCACACGTACAGCACCCCGTGCATACACAAACCATAGCCCATAGGCTGCTATATGAATGCCTATTTAGAAGTAAAGAAAAAGCCCTGTGGTCAGGCTCTGCTTTAAACCGTGATTATATTGTGCGTGGATTGTGATGCTGGTGTAATATTTTGTAGATTTTCCTATGGACAAATGAGCAAACAATCTCTATGAATATTTAACATGTGCATTAATGATGCTGTGATCAGAACAGACTGCTTTACATGTGTAGTACAGCTGTGATCAGCTGTGCACGGTGCACTGAGGCTACAGAATGGTCAAAAACTTTGGCACATGCCCTGGAGCCTCACTCACAGCTGTTGTGCTCACTGTGGCTGGTTGACATATGAACTGACGTGGACTACTGTACTGTACATGCCTACGCATAATGCGCTGTCTGTCAGTTTATTTGGGTTAATATTCTGTCTTATGGTTCATCCTTTGGCCGTGTACTCTACCACTGTCTTTGGTGTTTGGTACAGCTGCACTAGTGGACTAAACTGTCTTTTCTCAGATCTGATGATGCTCAAAATATCCTCCGGTTCAACCAATTATAAAATAAGCTAAGAATAGGGTGTCTTCCAAAACCAGACCAGTACTACACCATTAATAAATACAGTCCATTTACCATTTGCGCCTGATGATCATGGCCACTGTTCATTTTAACTCCACTACAACAAGAGGCATGCAGGCATGGCCAAATGGACGGCAGCTATAGTGAAATGCCCCCCATCATTGGGCTGCCTGACCTGCTCCTACTTCTCTCTCTCACTGTAATGACTGGCCATACTGCACAGTGTCAGAGATACTGTATTTAATAACAATTCAGTTACATCTCGCACTGTGATGCTCTACATTTCATTTTCCACTGTAGTCTGCACCTTGCAGGTCCATGGACACAGCCTCATCACACCATCAGAAAATGAACACAAATAGTTTACATGAATAAAATGATAAATGGTAAATACACTTAAGCCATTAAATATAACAACTATCACAGTAATCGTGCTGCCTCACACTGCGCTCCACCTTCAACAGAGCTGGCTCATCGAGTCATGTGATTTTCTGAGAGAACATCCTTACATTCAGTAGCAGTCACTTTGTATTTGTAACTTCATTGCAGCAGGATTTGACAATGGAGTCTTTCATTTGTTCTTTTTTTTTTCACTTGTTTTTCTGATGAGAGCTTAAATTAATGCCCACGCTGCAAGCTGGTAACACCATATGACAGCATGAGTTAGGTGTCACTTCTCAGTGGCTGGCATCGTCCCGCACATGGTCAAGAAGCCATGGGTCAACCAAAATGCAAAGCGGGCTCTAAGCCAAGCGTGTAATGCAGTGCTATGTTTTGCAGATCGCTGTCCGTTCCAAACAACAACAAAGAGCTGCTGTGTCTGTAGAAAAATGCAGAGCTTCAATAATTTGTTGCTGTTGTTTTAATGTCCTCAAATTGGCAAGATTTTAGCTCATAAAATCTACAGACAATTTTTTGTCCATCACACTGTCAATGTCAACATAGATGTGGGGTTATGGCAGCAGCTGTGTGATAAGAAGCTGTCTACTTTGCAGTATACTGTACATGGTGTTCACTACTGTGAGCTGGTAACTCATGGTGCTGTGTTAATCATGTTTAATGCAGTCGATCTTTGGCTAGAGACGTGAAACCCAGCGTATACACTGTATAATACTGTATGGTTTAACAATTCAGAACCTGATACTGTTGGTGGACAGTATGGTGGGCTTTGCGACAACTGGGCGGCAAAAGCAGAGCCGCAGGTTGAATTTTACTGCATTGTTGAGGTAATGCCACCAACAGGGCACCGCAAATACAGCACAGTGAAAAAGTATGCCCATATCTGTATGTGTGGAAAAAGCTGTTGCTCTGTCACAGACAGTATGTCCAGGTCATACCTGTATATGTAATTATTCAAAACGTAATACAAAAGTGCACATCAAAAATGTATAAATTCATATGATGTTACTACATTTATTGTATGTTAAATCAGCTATTCCTCATGTGTTTTCCATTTTTTGTCTGTGAAATCTGTCAATTTACTATAATCTAGTGGAGAAAAATGCAATATTTTCCAGTTTTAACAGTGATGTAAGTAACATAGTAGAATGTAGCCTACAAGTATAAAAACCAATTACAGTATTTATGTATAGTTGAGTAAAACATAATTATTATAAATAATACATTAATAAGTACAGTAACCACACACAGGGTACATATTATGTATGACTGACTCAATAATGACTGATATGTAACACTGATATGCATTTACACAGTATCACAGTACTGTTTGCTTTGCTACTAAACACTGAGTGCAAAGTGCTAATGGATTGGTTGTATATCTGTGTATTCCTCAGTGATTTTCCCATTCGGGGCATGCAGATCTATGACGGGCCCATTAATGTGCAGAACTGTACGTTTCGCAAATACACAGCACTGGATGGACGGCATACCAGCGCCTTTGGCTTCAGGCTCAACAACTCGTGGCAGAGCTGCCCGAACAACAACGTCACTGGCATCACCTTTGAGCATGTACCAGTGAGTCATTTTCTGTGTGAAATGCTTTGAAATGAAAGAAATAGAAAAAATCTTGGAAATGCAGTTTAATATAGGCTCCAGCATCAGACTCAAGGTACATTGTGGAATTTTTAACCATAAGAGACACTATGGAGCAAGTCAAATCAAATCAAATCAAATTTTATTTGTATAGCGCCAAATCACAACAAAAGTCATCTCAGGACACTTTACAAAGTAAGGTCCAGACCTTACTGTTATCAATATTATTACATAGGGAAAACCCAACAAATCCCCCTTGAGCAGCACTTGGCGACAGTGGGGAGGAAAAACTCCCTTTAACGGAAGAAACCTCCGACAGACCCCGGCTCTTGGTGGGCGGCCTTCTGCCTCGACCGGTTGGGGTGAGTGGATAGAGGAGAGACAAAAGAAGAAAAGCAACAAGACACAACAA